GCGATACCAGTGGCGCGGTGCATGAAGGAATTCCGCATGACAAGTGGTGGGTGATAAATTGTCAGATGTGGAGACCATGGGCGCTTCAGGCCAATGTTCTTTTGCCAGTACTGCTGCATTTCAGTCTGGGCCGTATCTTGCACCTCTTGACTAGTGCTCCCCGCTCCATTTTTGCACGCAGAAAGGACAGGAGTAGAGCGAAGAAGAGAGGAAGGGGCTGAGCGCGTAGCCAGCGAAAGGTTGCGGACAGCTAGGCCGCGAAAAGGAGTAGAGCTCGAACGCAGAAGTGCACTGCGGAAAAGTTAACAGTGTCATAATTTAATGCGTGTGACATACGCCAGATAGAAAACGCTTCATGGAGCTTGGCCAGCAACAGTTTTCTAATAGCACGCGAACGGAAATATGAAAATAGCCATCCAAGCAGTCTGGTGGGAGAAAAACGCGACGCGTGGTCAGGCGAACAGCTGGTTGAGCCTAGCCCTACAGTCGTTCAAACAAATTATAAAATTTACAACTTTTTTATCCTTAGCTTTCCCCATTAAAGCCTTAAGCGACTATTTTTTTACGTAAGATAGTCAAAGAGAAACTTTTATAGAATTGTAAGAAAAAGAGACGTACACTGTGAGAGCCGACATTGTTTGCGTCCGATGCGGCAATCTGACTAGTTAAACAAACTCGGTATCGATAAACAAGGTACTCAGGATTCTAACAGATTGGACTGACGTTTTACCTCAATTCCCTGGAATAATATTGTTCTTTTTTGCGGACGACGAGCAATGAAGGGTACATCGGGAGTCGGGAAGAGGAGGGATGCAAGAGACAACGCTATCAGCTTTGCTTACTGGCGGCCTATGCAGCCCAGTCTCTAAAGACTAATTCTAAATCAACTTGTTGAGTAAATAAGTTGTTCGCCCTTGAGTCCCCTATGCATATTCACCAATGGCCAAAAATAACTCCAACAATAGAGAATATGACAGCTTTAAACTTAACGTCAGCGATAGGTGTGAGCCAGTCACAAACTGAACTGAACAGTCACTAATGACACAATTTTAATTATATATGTTCTCAGCTAATTGGAACGCAGTTTACATTTATATGTTGCAACAGCTTCTTCACGGGCCACCTCGTGAGGGAGTCTGTTCCACGCTCCAATGACCCTTTCTGCGTTGC